TGCCCCCCAAGTCCTTTCCCTCCAGAGAGGCCTCTCCCTCCAGAGGCCCCTCCCCGGCCTGCCCTCCCTCCCGAGGCCCGGAAGTCTGCTCACCACGCTGGCAGGCTGGCCCGAGTCCCTGGCGCTGGTGGCGGCTTCCAGGAAGACTCACCTTGAGGTCTCCCGTTGTTATCCAGCCCCAGAAGCTGTGGTTTCAACGGTTAATGAGAAGTACTAGAATGGTAGAGGTGAAATATAAATTCACTTATGGCCATCTTTTAAAACTTTATTTGTTTAGAGATGGACTCACATAGCCCAGGCTTAACTTGTTCTGTGGCTAAGGATGGCCATGAACTTCCCGAGTTTCCTGTCTCCATTTTCCAAGTGCAGGGAGGCTTGGTTTTATGAGATGTTTGGGATCAAAAAGCTAGCTAAACGTCGAGCCAGGGGTCAACCTAAAGAGTGAGCTAGTGGGTCTGTATTCCTTCATGGCTCCTGCCTCGAGTTTCTGCCTTTGATTTCCCTCAACTGGAAAGGAAGGTGTATGTCAAAGACATCCTTCCCTCCAAGTTGCTGTTTATCCGTGTTTTATGCAACAACAGAATGAAACTAGAACACTGCTCTTACAGAGGACTACAGTTCAGTTCCCAGACTGCCATATACTGGCTCTGAAAGCTCCAACTCTCTCCCTCTTCTGGTTTCTACAGACATCTGCATGTACATGGGGGGGGGGGGGTTTAATGCGCGCGTGTGTACACACACGTTTACAAATAAAAGGAATAAAATTCTTTCAAACATAATAAAATCAAAAGAAGCTGAAAATACTTACAGAAGGTGTATCATTGGTTCACAACAATAAGATTATCGTTAGCGCTAGTCCTAAATCGGAAGATTCTTGGGCTTCATGTGGCATATAGCTACCACCTTCCCACTCAGCTTTAGCCCCATAACTATTTCCATTTTCTATATTGCAGTTACTTCCTTTTCTCAGACAACCTCTCATTTTGTTGCTCAAGCTACTGCTCAAGCTGATGACCAACTCCCAATCCCCTGCCTTACCCTCCTTAGTAAGCTTGGTGGGGTTCAGTCTGTCAATCCAGCGTTCAGGATGTTTGGGCAGGAAGATGAGAAATAGGTTCCATAATAAGACCTTATCTCCAAAAAGAAAAAAAGAACCTATTACCATTTGGATATGGTATTGGAGTATAGCCAGATAAATTAAGTAATTGGTAATGGGTGTCACTGACTTGAATATCTCGCGTGAAATGCTTTAGTATGTGACATGAGTATACAAGGGTCAGCTCTTCCTGGCCTCAATGTATGCTACAACAGTGTCAAAGAACCAATACATAGGGCACTGGTCAGCACCAACCCCTTAGACCTGGCAGGGAGAGAGCAGTGTAACTATAGTGACAAGCCAGGGAGTTAGGATGAGTTGCTCAAGGTGACATGGAACCTAACAAGTTGGAACCTTCAGCTGCTTTTCAGTGTCTCCTGGCCCAGTGGCTTTGCAGACCTAAGGAAAACCTAATTAAGGACAGACCTTGACCTTCTGTTACAGAGCCAGGATGTGGTATCAAAGTTCTCGTGTGACCTTAATTTCTTATTCTTTAAAAATTCTCAGCTATGCCAGATGGTGGTGGTGTTTGCCTTTAATCCCAGCATTGGTAGGCAGAGGTAGGTAAATTTCTGAGTTCAAGGCCAACCTGGTCTGCAGAGTGAGTTCCAGGACATCCAGGGAAACCCTGAGAAACCCTGTCTTGAAAAAACTAAACAAATATAAAGGACTAGAGTTGTAGGATCATGTGATGCTCTCCTTTAGTAAGGATATGTAAATTAGATTAGGGACCTATAGGAAATACTTGTGTAACGATAAATACTCCTTTGTACAGCTGTACAGGGTTCAGTCCATCAGAGAGGCTGGACCTTCCTGCTGCCACACAGGACTTAAAATTTCATCTTGGGCCAGGCATTGGTGGCACATGCCTTTAATCCCAACACTTGGGAGGCCAAGACAGACAGATCTCTAAGTTCGAGGCCAGCCTGGTCTACAGAGCAAGTGCCAGGCTAGGCTCCAAAGCTACACAGAAACCCTGTCTTGAAAAGCAAAAAAAAAAAAAAAATTGTCTTGGAGTGCCTTCTTTAACTGACCTGTGCCACACGGTGCACCCCATCCACCTCCCCACACACACAGGAAGGCTTCTTTTCCAAAGTAAGGGGGCTGCCAGAACCAGTTCATAGAATCGCTTCAAATCCCTCTTTCTTTCCATTCTTCCCTAGTATCTTTGTTCTAGGAAATGAGAAACAATATACCGATACTTAAGGAC